CTATCTATCTATATTTATATCTATAATTCCTATAGCATTCAGAGTAAAACCGGCTATTCTTTTTGACCATTATTGTCAATTCTTACTTTTGACTTGAAGCTTTTAAAAAGAGTGAGTTCCAGCTCTGAAGAGGCCTGAACAGGACAAATGGAATCAGTAAATGTCTTCTGGTGGGGTTGACTCACCCACCCCCAGAATCTCTTTTTCACACTTTCACAAGAAATCTAATGTTGGCTCAAAACTGCTGACAAGAGGCTAGCTGTTCGGGACTTCCTAACTTTCTTTCGGTTTCTGTCGCGTGAGTATAGTTCAACTTAATTTCGAAGTAGTTTTCGAGGCTATCTCTAATCTTTGAATGACAACTTTGCCAATCCAGGTCATGTAAAGTGATTCAAGGCTAGACGATTGAGTTTTGACACAATCATATGATGCCATTAAATGTCACCTAATCTTCATATTACACGATGTCGTGATGTCTGAGCTGACTAATTAATTATTCAAGAATTACTTATAGTCTTATAAGCTACTTATATTGTTAATAAGTAGTGCATTTTATTGTAATGGCAAACACATATTTGCCCAACCGGCCTAAATCCCTGCCACCCATTAGCACCCGTGGCTGTATGGGGGAGCGGTAACGTCGCCACGCTACCAACAACGAGTTATCGAATCCCTTTGAGGCTGTTGACAAGACGATGACGCGAGTCCTCAGTGAACACGAAGAAAAAGCAGGTTTTGATGAATCTGATGAGATGAAATTGTATGCAAATGCATGTTGAAGAGATTCCTTGGTTGATCTCGCTGTTGTTCTACGACGTTTTTTCTCGTTTCTTTCATTTCTCAAATGACGGACATCATCAGGAATGGAATACCTTCTTGTAAAATAATCTGGTTAATGCCAAGTTGAGAAGATCAACCAACGCAACTTTTCGTTATGCTCACAACGACGTTTTATCGAAATCCAGTTACATTTGGTATCTGAAATTGAAACCAACTTTTTCAGTGTGGCCTTTATTCATCTAATCAAGAGACTGCTATAGTTTCGCGACATATCCACACCAAATATGCCTAATTTATTCCCAGTTTACGGGCCTGTAGTTGTGTTGATTGATATGGAGGTCGTAAAATGTTTATTTCCTTGCCTAAACGACTTAAAGTGGGATTTTCTAAAACGAATGCATTGTTGTGCAAACTTTCATTTCGTATGAAATTACATTATGAAGCGATTCGTAATTCGATCTCGCCACAAGACGACGGCTGATTTCCGCTTTACTGCAATAAGCTCTTCAGCTTGACGCAGTAAGACGATACATTCTTCTTCATTTTTCGAGCAAAAGCGAGCTCACTTTTCGTTCGTCCTGCCACGTTGTGAGCATCATTTTTGGAAAAGGCTCACATTTACACAAAGTCAAAAAGACTGACCGGCTCTGTCCTACATGCCATACTCAAAATGAAAATGTATTCAAGCATGGATGGATGTAGGAAGTTTTGGTTAATTGTCTTATTCTCGAGTTTGTCTGTGTTTGCGCTTGTGTATGTGCGTTAACATTGTGGCATGACTCTCCATTTCGAAGGGAGCGTTGGTTGGAAGAAAGTGGTGTTGTGGTCTCACCGGCAACCGAAGGAGGATCGTTGAATTGTGCGAAGAAGCCGTCGGTTCATCGTCCTCTGACCCAGCTGCAACTGTGCTAAGCTTTCGTCTGTACCATTTTGGCAGAAATCATCAGAGCAAGATTGCATATTTTACGAAATAGAGCAAAAATATACTTGAAGATATGAAGACCAAGATGTGTTGGCCTCTGGTATGCTCGCAGTCTCCTTTCGATTTATAGAATTGGGTTGACCTCGTTGTCGCAACTTGGTTTTGTTGTCATGGCGACTTAGTAGAACGCACCTAATCCGAAGTCGTCTGTCAGAGTAGTTGTCACGATTCCCAGCATCAGAGAATGGCAAAACTAACTGATTATGCCGGCAGAACGTTTGAGAATGTACCAAGTCCACTGTCAGGTGCTGGGAATCAAGACAACTACTATGACAA